ATACAGATACAAATATATATATATGCTGAATATGTAACTCAGTGGATTGTATCTCATATATCTCAATTTTTTTATGAAAAAGCCGTTTTGTCTCTGTTGCACTCGCACACCAAGTCCTAATTTGGATTGAGCAGATTCTGTAGCGCGTCCTGGACTGCTGAGGGTGGAGAAGGGCACACTGAACTTCTTCTTGCTGCTGCATCTTAATGCTCTCAATATTGTCCTTGTCCTTCGGCACATCTGGGGGAAATCTGAGTCCCAGGAGTTGTAAAGTTATATGTGATTTAAGCAGAAGGCTAAAACAAAATGTTAGTGGTATGTGAAGCATCCACCTTGGCGTCAAGCAATGAAAGATCAGTTCCAGGTCTTGGAGTGTGACAATATGCTTAGACACTTGTGCAGACTGAGTATATTTTATATAGATTAGCACAGCTAGCTATTTACAAAAGGGCAACATTTAATGTTAACTTTATGAAGTGAAAATTATTTTGCACCATATATCCAGGTTCTGCGGAAGTGATATTTGTTATTACCTAAAAATCAAATTCACAGTACAAAACATGCGTAACCTGCATTTACTTTGTCTCACACAGAAGGATTTTTCCCAAGTATGTGCATGATATTCAGTTTACGATTGCTCTTTACTAAGATATCTCATCCATCGTAAAATACATCTTCTAACGTAAGTCAGTTGAAGTGAAATTTAACGTCTAACTGGTTCAAATACATAAGGGTACAAAATTGTTTAAAAAAAATCTCTTTTAGCGTAAATTCTAGAATGGGCTCTAGTTTTTCTCACTGAACTATTACTGTGCAGACACAATGAATAAAGGTAAAAACTAGAGACTTATAAATATGACTGGAATATTGTCATGTGATCACCTGGTAAGAGTTTAGCAGCTGTACCAAATGTTGTTTTGTAATTAAACTGGGCCCAGGGAATTAAAGTTGATTAGTAGCACAGACTCTACCCGCAGGCTTGGGCTGTGGCTATAGATTTTGTTTTATAATTAAGTTAATGTCCGACGAGGGATATGAGGAATTAGAGCCTGTGAACCTAGCAAACAATAAAAGACTTTTGTTTTCCCTCCCACTTCCCTCACACATTTCACAACTTTGGTAATGACCTGAAAGTATTAAAAGTCTATTTTCTGTTTTGTGAAATATTCTTTGTCTTGGCTGTGAGAGATCACCAGGATTTGATATTCGCCATTCATTTTTCTACTGGTTTTTAAGGGGTAAGGTGGTGGAAGGTCATAAAAGCAACTGGAGGAGTTTTGTGCAGCTGAGCTGACAGACAGGGGTGTGGAACACAATGGCTGACAAAAGAAAGCTCAGCGGACAACTAGAATCTGCAAAAGAGATGAATAGTTTCTATGTAATAGAAACTTGAAGATCCTCAGAATCTGTACCACAAGGACAATGTGGGGGAGGGGAGCTCTAGAGAGTTCTGCCTTTGACAACTCTCTGAGGCTACCTATTTTATGTTTGTAGCATTTATGTATTTAAAGATCTGAATTTGGTGAGCTAAGAGTTTTTTGTTTCCCAAACTGGTTGGTTCGAAGCAAAAAAAAAAGGCTATTAAACTGGATATGGGAGAGAAATGTATTGTCTTATTTATTACTTAAGACTGTAAACTAAATATTGTTTCCATATTCTCTCCCCTTTTTGTTGAAAAACATGATTAGTTATGATATCTGTAGTTCCTTAGATGTTAAGTATTGCCACTATTGCAAGTGAATTTCAGAAACTCAATTTTCTTATCTTTTTTTCCATTTTATTTTGTAAAGTAATAAACTTCAGTAGTTTCAAATGTCTGACCTTCAGTGCCACCTTTATTTTATTTAACGTTAGTAATCATATAATCAACTGATATGCACAACTCTCTCTCAGCCTTGGTCCAGATTTTTAGAAAAGCAAGAAAATAATACTGTATAAAAAAGTAGAGGTCATCATTATACAGGTGTGAATGGCACAATAGTGGGAGAGATGGGGTCAACGTCCAGGGATTTCAGGGGTGACTTGGGCCCTTGTGGAATGGGATCAACTCTATTGTGTACAGGTCAGCAACCCAGAAAATGAGCTGGATTCACACTAAGCAGAGGAAAAATCAGGATTAAGAAAATGTTGAAAGTAGCATAGGCTAGGTTTTTAATCAGGAATTTTGCTTCTTCCTCCCTATCATTAAAAACACTGGAATACTTTGAGGAAGCTGACCTTGCTATCCCGGGTGAGGACATACCGCATGACTCCACCTTCTCTCTGAAACCTTTGCCGCTGGTTTCTTCCTTCTGGATTAGGGTGAATAGATACATCTGACTGGAGAAAAAAAAACAAGCAAAATAGTATTTGTTTTCTGAGTAGTTTGCATTGCATTTCTTTCATCTGATGTGGGTAGTATAAGGAGGGATGTAAGTGTGTATCATTTCATTACCTTGAGATAAATGGAGGAATAAACTCCAAAGAAGATTGAAAAAATGGACCTCTAACTGAAAGAACATTATGTGTCTGGTCTAGTAGTGAGACCCTGAACACCCTGTAGACCCTTCCTTAAAATACAATAAATAAATGAATAAATATAATGTGAGAAGAAATGGGGCAATAACATGCTCTCTTTTAAGTTATAAAATACAATTTACATCCAATGTATGATTGGTAGGCACTGAATTAATTTCTCCAAGTAAGCCTTGCCTTTACTAAACAGCAACAATGTAGAGGTGAACAGATGTATGTAAAACAAGGAGTAAATGACATGGAGCAATGAATGATGGGAGACCATCATAGTGCTCTTGGTTAGGACTAATATTTTGACTGACTCAGGACCCTCCCTGAAGCGTAAGTTGATCAAGGAGTAGAATGCCTGCAGCTTGTTAAAGATGTGCTTCTAAGGGACATAAGTAAGAGAAGGGGAAATAAACTAACTAGAAAAGGCGGCATATGACTTGCACTCCCCAAACCATCTCCATGTTCAGTGACTTACAAGTTCTCACAGGACTCAGTGCACAGTTGTTCCCACATCTGCTATCGGTAATAATTCTCCCAAGCGAAACACACACAGGGCAAAATCCAGAGGAAAACTTGCCAGAGAGTTTTCTACCAGTGGAACCACATAGCATGTGCCCAATTCCTCCACCGATGGACTATAACAGCAATGATGTGGCATACTGCCCATCAGCAGAGTTCACCAGAGCTGGGAGTCCAGGGCTGATGTCGGAGTCGGTCATGAAGCCAGGGTTGATGCTGGATTGATCTTTCCATGTGGCACGTACTGTGTCGCACACTCTTGAAGAAGGCAGATGCTGAGCTTTATATTGCATTGACCGTATGAATCCTTTAAAGCATGGGGTACCACTTATCATTTAGAGAATAGCGGGATTCTGCAGAAATGTACATGCCCAGATGCAAGCCAAGGGCCGCTGAATAGTGGACCTCTTGGTTTCCTTTGGCTGCATGTATATGTGCATCTGAGGCTCTGCTGCTAGACCCTCATTTGCCTCCTTTGCCACTTGCTGTTAGGCACGAGGGCTGCATAAGAGACTCATGATAACATTCTCAGGGCCAATGGATTAATTCTTTTCTGCACAGAAATAATCAAATTTGTAGATTTAGTCTGTTTAAGCACATCATTCCAGAGTGAAAATTAGACCAGAAAAACTGTAGTTCTCGAAGTAGAGGAGTTGTTCTTAGCATCCTCACACCACTTGTCCACAGCATAACAGGAAGAAGGGGGGAGGGTCCCAGAAACGTCTAGCTTTTTTTGGTGTAGCCCTAGTGCCTAAAAGCAAACAGCAACAGAGGCA